TGAGGGGTGCGGGGGGTGAGTTAAAATCTAGTTCAAACCTTAAAGAAATGTACACAAAATAGAAGCCTGATATCAATTTGACTCACCCCCCTTTGGAATGTAAAACTGCGGTGCAGGCTTGCCACCACTTTTCAAGCAGTGCACTACATGTCCTGTATTGGTACCGATGTAAAGATGATTGTGATCACGACTATCAAGCTGTAAATCGAAACATGTCAGATTGAAGCACAAGTGCTGGTCCCTGAAAGAGGAGAAGCAGCCATGTTACAGTCATATTCAGAAGCTAACTCAATTCACTTATGGCTTATTTAATAACATTATCAAGAGCTCTGAATATACAGGTTGTCCCAGGAGTAAAGGTCAATATTCTTAGAGGTCATAGTATCAGTCATTAAAGCAAAAAAGCATATATGCTTATGTGTCCTATTCTGAATTGTCCACTGTGCTTAATTAATTCAGCACTATGCCATGAACATACATGTGGGAATGGAGGTACAGCTCCATCATTCTTACCCTCAGCACTAGATGGAGGTGCATGATCAGCTTTATGGCCCTGCCACTTTAACCCTGGGAAAACCGCCCGAGGTACGCATTGGAAAGGGGGCTGGGTGAGCCTCAGAGCCGGTATGGATGTTGTGCAGAAGAGAAAAATCTTGCCATACTATGAGTCGAACTCGGGCCACCCAACTTGTACCCTGTTGATATACTGACTGAAATACCCCAACTTCCTCTAGATCCTCTGAAGTTTGTAAAATTGAGACCTGAATGAATATTGTATGTTAAATACACGTAAGGTTACAGGGTATCAGGAGACATGAGAAACTAAGTACTCACAGTGAGATGGTGTCTATAAGTGAGAAGGTGGAACTCCACACCAAGCGCACTCTGCCCCAGTGAGCCAGCCCCAGATCCTGAGAAGGCAGTGCACTCTGATGACCCTGCTTATAACTCTGGATCACAGTCCATATATTGATTGTACCAACTTCATCCAGACTGCAAATCTAAGAGATGCAACATACAATGTTAATTCAACAATAAAATAATGCTGGGTGAAAATTTGGCAGCAGTGTCAAGTTATAATAAGATTTACTGGTTCAGCTGTTTTTCCAATATCACGAAGCTGAATTCCTTGCCGTAAACTCAGTTAGCATTCCAAATGATCGTATTGCTCATTTACTTATCATACAAGATAGAAAAGGTGCAATCCATACACGGTTCCCACATGTGTGCTTTGCACCAGTGCAACATATTCAGCGCATCAACACATTTCACATCTGACAATATATAAATTTCTTACAGTTTAATAATTCATTATTATAGTTAGTTTCCTTACTATCGCTCCTACAATTACCATAACTTCCATGGTTATCATGGTGGGCCATGCTGTAGCTCAGGCAGTTTGTCACTGACTTCTTACTGTTGCAGCCCAGATTCAATTCCAGGTCAGGGCATGTAGTATTTGTGGTGGACAAAGTGGTATTGAAGCAACTAGTCACCAAGTACTCTGGTTTCTCATGCCAATTCTTATTCCACTGACCATTTCACATTTGTTAATCATCCTATCATCATTGCTATATAATCTCAGGACTGACAACATCATTAAATAACCAACTTAACCTTTAGAGGGCCGCGCTATAGCTCAAGCGGTTAGTTGCTGGCTCCCCAGCAGGGCAGCCCGGGTTCAAACCCGGGTCTGGTCAAGTGGGATTTGTGGTGGACAAAATGGCGCTGGGTGGGTTTTCTCCGAGTATTTCGGTTTTCCCTGCCAATCTTCATTCCACCAAATTCTCCATCATCATAATCACCTGGGGCAGGTACAATAGGCCAATCAGTGGCCGCTGTGCCGAGTGGATCCAACTGGACTTCACCCCTTACTAAGTGGGGGGGAGGGGGGGAAGGAAAAAAACTGAACCTTTAATGTACGGACTTTTAAATTGCCGGCAGCCCTGTGTGGCCGGAATTTAAATGGCCTTAAATCTTTAACATTGCAGACTTTCAGAAAAAACTACATATTTTTCGTTCTACGCAACATAGAAATACAAACTAAAAACTACCTGAAATGCAATAAAATCTTCTACATATATACAAAAGAGCAATTTTTACAAAAGTTAACTGTGATTATTCTGCCATGAAATGCAAAATATAATCTTTATTATATATGTTATGAAATTCCAAAGGACCTACCCGTAGTTTTTTCTTCAACCTTGAGACATGGTGATATTGTAAATATAATCACACTACATACAATAATATTTTGTTCAGACTGTAGACGAGTTTGAACTGCGTCAATTCACAGTTTACGATACCTCACACTCTGACGCACGTGCGCAACTTCTGGAAGCAGTCCACGATACACAGCACATCACATTTTTTTACAACAGAAAATGGTGCTCCTGCTTTCCTTATTTAGGGAACACACATTACAACGTTTTTGTTTCCCTTTGGTTGGCAAGTGTTGTGAATGTTTCAGCTCCAGTCGATTCAGCTGGGCCCCAGATGAACTTGGCCTCCCCCAAGAAACGCCACTGGCCGTGATATTCACCTCGAGTGATTGAAGAATCATCTTGGGGGAAGGGGTTTCCAACTATATCGAATAAATTATGTTGACTGTTGACGCGACACTTTCACCTGTTAATAATACTCACAAAATATTGATGCAAAGTAATTACAATACTGATTCTGTATTTCAGCATCCCGTTGCAATTGTTCAACTTAATATCCATTATTTATCACCCGTCAATATTGCAACACTCTTCCATTCACCACTCAATTTTAGTTTAACGTTATACACCTTGAAACTGCCTCTGTGGTCTAGTGGTCAGCATTCGTGGCTACAGATCCAGAGGTCCAGGTTCGATTCCCAGCCCTACAAGATTTTCTCTTGAGAAGTAGTGGGTCTGGAATGGGGCCCACTAAGCCTTGTGATGATAATTGAGGACCAATTTCAAGGAAATAGTGGCTCCGGTCTAGAAAACCGAAATTAACGGCCGTGGGGATTCGTTGCGCTGACCACATGACACCCTCTATCCACAAAAGTTGGCACTGAACTTTGCCGACAAGCGGCGGTTGTTTGGTCGGTATGGTTTGCTTGCGGACTGAAATCACGGAGTTTATACACCTTGAACACTACATGTTTCAGCCCCAAACAGCCATCTTCAGGTGTCTTGATACGTTACAAATATTTTATTAAATTGTGTTAAAACTGCTAGTTTGTGTTAAAATCACATGCTGTAGTCCTCTTTTCAAGGTAAAACCAGATAAAATCCTTTAAAGTTTCTATTATACCAACGTTATTTTGGTGCATATTATTTCACCTCACATGGGGTGTCGTCCATTTTCATAAATGCATGTCTGCCCAGGGTGTTTTGTAAAGACAACACCACACGCTGTGGAGGAAACATGCACACCAGGGGCATGGATCTTATAAAGTACAGATGGCAGTCATAACTGAAAAGTAGACTACGAACGTGAGAGGTAAGCTGCCGAGACAGATAAACGATTCCATTGTTCAGAGCTAAGGAATGAACCACAGACATGACCTTGCGTGGGTTTGTTTTGGCTTCAAACACAGGATCAAACTGTCAGCACTCCCGAAGAGAGCCCACTTTTACCACATTTCGGCAGTACCACTAATGTCACTCTCACTTCACAAATTGTTGCCTCCATTATATTCTTATTACTATTTATCTATGGCTCTATAGCCCTTGTGGACCTCTGCTGCATTTTCAGTTTCTTAATCCTATACACAGTCAGATGGGTGATCAGCCCATCACAAGGCTGCTACCTACACACATAACAACACAAACGCAGAATAAACAAACACAGACATCCATGCTCTGAGTGGGATTCGAACCCATAACCCCAGTGTTTGAGTGGGCAAATACGGTTCATGCCTTAGACTGCGAACCCACTGTGACTGGCATGTTGTTATCACTAGCTGCAGCAAATTAAAAAGTATGGATCATGAGTAACTTGGCATAAAGTGAAACATCAACATTTTGCTTAGTCACAGCTACTGCATAACTCAATGCAAAGACTCACATTCCATCAAATGACCTGTCAGAGCTTTGCATGTCACACATAGAAACAAAGTGATCTAGGATAGTGTCATTGTCAGTGCACAACACAGAGCAAAATGATTACAGCTGTACACACTGGAGAGAATGTTCTGACCCAACACTGAATAATCTGCAAAAGAGGAGAACACAGAGCCATCTGTCCTGCAGCAGAGAGAAAGCTGAAAGCAGAAAACTGCCCATAATTGTGGGCTATGACCCCAGAGATATTTATCATATAGATAAAAATATTTCCTAATGGGCTGATGACCATCAGAGATGATCACTTCCATGGTGGGAAAAATTATGTGACGAGAGCAACTCTCCTGCAGACATGTGATATTTGATGGGACAGATATACTTCTACAAAGGATAACAATTATCAATTTGTTCCATTTGGTTCCAGTGAAAATGTAGCTTAGATGCTTAAAAAGTCAGTAAGATACTGGTCAAAATGAGGCAAAACGAAAAGTGCAAATTGTTCAGTTCACGTCACAGATTATTTCAGGATAAAGATGGGTGCCCGAAATAGATTTTAGTGTATGTACAGTTGTGTTTCTCATTCCAAGGATTTATTGACACCTTATACACAGTTCCTGGAACTACAGGCAATACAGCACTATCAGTGATCTACACAATTTACAGTTCACTGTTGCAGACGCGCTAGGGTTCTCAGTCTTCACTAGGGGTATCCTGGCAATGGATTCATAATAGTCTCACTGTAACTTCAAATCACACATGAATTCTTCTTTTCACAGCCTAATTCATTTCTTGTCATTATTCTGCAACTGCCAATTCAATTAATTCCTCTGCTCCCAAGCTCATATCCCAGCAGGTGGGCCTCTTGAAAGTTGACTAACTCTTCTCAACTGAACTCTTCATTATAACTACTTTGCACAGACCATGCAGAATACACAGCCTCTGTATTGTTGGGAAAGTGTGTTTACAGCACCACTGCATAGTAATGGAAGTTACTTGATTGTTGCTTGTGTATCTATTGCCGCAGGAATGTGTTTACTGAGTCGTTGCCTAGCAATGTATGTCTAATCTGACTTCACTATTCCACCTTTTGGGCATCATGTCACATTATGTTAACAATGTCGATACCTAAAAATTATTATTTTTTTTATTCACTCAGTGGGGGTGGGGGGGTGTAGTCCAACTGGGTCCACTCAGCATGGTGGCCATTGGCCTATTGTAGCCTGCCCCTGGTGATTATGATGATGGAGAATTTGGTGGAATGAAGATTGGCAGGGGAAACCGAAGTACTCGGAGAAAACCCACTGCAGTGCCACTTTGTCCACCACAAATCCCACTTGACCAGACCTAGGATCGAACCCGGGTTGCCGCAGCGACTAACCACTTCAGCTATGGCGCGGCCAATATTGATACCTAACACTGACTTCCTTTCCATGCAGTTTCAATGCAGTCCTTTCTCTGCAACCGATTGACTGATGACTGTCTGACTATAAACTGTTGATTTCAATCCAGAAATGCTGGTAACCACAAAACTTCATGACTAAAAAGCCATCTACTGGTAATCACTTAAGATCACGGTTCTCAATATTTTTTTGGTTATGGTTTGTCTTGTCTCTGTTCCAGTACGTTAAAGTCAGTATATTGATCTGTTAACTTCTGCTAAAACAATCAAAACAAGCTCATTTGGTCAAAAGGAATGTTGTGATAAAGGAAATAGCAAATACCTGGAAAGCAGCAAACCTGTTCATATTCACTCCTGTGCAATGTGGACAGCCTGCATTCATTATCTTACCTATAGTTTACTTGGCACAGATCTGCCACAGAATTATGAAACTGCTTTGTATCCCTCTTGCCTCTACTGAATTGTTTGTAAACATTGTCTAACATAAAACGAAGAAGTACAAATCATCATTCATAACTCTCTACTGTTTTACCTCTCATGCCAACGGCCTCCGTAGTCTAGAGGTAACGTTCCCACCTCATGACTCGTAGTACGCGGGTTCAAATACCCGGCGGAGGTCGTCGAAATTTTAAGGGCGGAAAAATTCAGGGAACAAGTCCTCCGGGAGGGACTTTAAGCCGTGGGTCCCGTGTCGTAGCTTTACGGCACGTAAAAGAACCTCATACCTCCAAAGGAGGTCACTGAGCCAAATTACGGACGTTTCCCGCCCAACAGCAGTCACTAATACCTCCGGTAGATGGAGGAAGCATTATAGATACTTCTCAGCCAGTAGAGCCGGTCTCGCTGGCTGGGTGGGACTGATGGTAAGCACCAGTACCGGTAGGATATAGAGACTGGTAGAATATCATAGAGGGAAGCACAATGGACCATAGGTCTAAGTGCATGGGGAAACCCACCCTCTCTAATAACTAACTAACTAACTACCTCTCATGCCTCTAAAGTCGATTATAACTAAACACACATACAATTTAAGTAATCTCCCTTAAATAACACATGAATGAAGTGAAGACAAAGATGGATATTCCCCAAATATGATGGCAACTTGCAAATGATAACAATCTCATGAGTAATCGTTAATTGTACCTGAGTTGGTGAAAGTTCTGTGTTTCCAGAGATATCAGCTTCTGCTTCAGTCCCACCAAATGGCTGCAATGCAACAATCTTACTGAGATGTCCTTTGTCTTTTAAAATCTCAGCTGAAAATAAATCCTTACCATTAGGTAAATCCTTCACGCACAAAGTGAAATGCTGATCAAAAGAAATTTAACAAAATCACTGGCACATTACATATCTATATACAAGATGCGCAGTTACATCTTCATGTGTCCAAAAAGAACAGTGATACCCAATGTTATTATATTTGAGCATCCTGTTGCATTGAGTTGTCACTTATAGTCTGTTATTTCTGTCTGCAATGCAACAATTAACAACAGTGATTCAAACTTAATTCATACAATGGTCATTATGTGTACAAACGCATTGCATGCACGCAGCCAAAGAAGAAGGAAACATCACAAGACACAGTATACACAAAATATAGGAGGAACGACTCCCATAGTGGATGAGTGATGTAATGCGCGAGTTTGAAATGAGAGGTATAGGATCATAAATCTTAACAAATTTTAATATATATAGATTTTATTATGGTACATGAGGAATATACATTTTAAATCATTTTATAAACAACATATGATGGCGAGCAGTGCAATAGTTTAACATAGGTGACACACATGCCAAAACATGTAGTGAAGTGAAATGTGAGATTGTGTGCACTAGAAGACGGTCAACACATACATATTGTAACGTGTCGGCAAACCAGAGGAGTAACTTCTATGGAAACGCCAGAACAGACCGTTGCATAAGAAGTAACAATAGCGATACTGTAATTCCAACAGTGAGCTGTTGTATCGAGAACATCGAATCTCCACGGTAACGACAAACAAAGCAGCGTCTCCATGGTTATAACAGAAGGTTCATTTGCCTAGCAGTGGCGAGGGTATAAATAGGCCAGCTTCGATGAGAAGCCTTCAGTCTCGGAATAGTCTCCGAAGAAGAAAGCTTCGGATCGCCCGTCTAAGAAGTCAGTTTGGAATATCCGTCTATGGAGTCAGTCTCGCCGGAATATTGTGAGCAGTGATTGTAGCACTGCAAGTGTAAAGGCCTGTGAAGTGTGTGTAATGCGAGCGAACAGAATAAACCCGCTATATTAAACCACGGCATGAACTTATTTGTAGCGCGACACACAAACACGCTACATTGGTGTCAGAAGTGGGATCGAACTTACACATGTGGCCGATAAGTTTTGAAGTCAAGACTACTACACAATGGATTCACAGCAGATGATGGAACTCTTGCTGAAGAAAATCAGCGCTGGCCAAGAAAAAACAGACGAGATGCTGAAAGAGATGAAGGCCGATAGGCAGGCTGACGCGGAGGAAAGGAAGGCGGAGAAGAATGAATTGCTGGCCCTAATGGAGGCCAACGAAATAAAGGCCGACGCCGATAGAAAAGCTGACCAAGCCAAGGCCGAAGCCAGACACGCACAGCTGATGGGCGATTGGAAAGCCTGGGGGGAAGGGAAGAGAACTAGCCACGAGAAAATTGATCCCCACCCAGAAGCGATGCAGTCCATACTGGAGCATCAAGAAGTCCCCGTAGAAGACGCCCCGAAAATACCGGTCGGAGAACCGAAGAAGCGGGGTAGGGACCACAAGCTGGCCGAGGAACGCCGCCGGCAAAAAGTGAAGAATTCATTAGGGGAAACTCGTGGGCCCCACAAGGAATTGGCCGTCGCCCGAGTGACAACACGCCGTGCGGAAGTGGCACGGCAGGCAGAAAACAGAAGGACATCCCGTCGCGCGACAGTGGCACGACATTGGAGAAACGACTCCAAGAAGGAAACTCCCAAGGGAACCTTCGGATGCCAGCGTAAAGAATTGGCCGTCGCCCGAGAGACAAGACGCCAAGGGAAAGCGGCACGGAGAACGCCAATAAACAAGAGGATGTCCCTCTGTGCAAAAGTAGCACAACGTAGGGGACATATCATGGGGACCAACCCAACTTGGAACAACGTTGCAAGACTTCAGCGGCCGCACCCAAGGAACAAGAGGACAGCCAGCCGGGCACTCAGGAAAATCATCGGGTTAAAACTTGTGAAGTTACCAGTGGGACTCCCCAGCGAGTTACCGAAAACCAGACACTGGACACTGTGGAGGGACCGACCCCCTCCAAAACGAAAAAAGGGAAAGCACCCTTATGGGAGGAACCGGTAACTTGGAAGTACCAGCCTCCCCAACAAGAATGAAAGGAAAGAACGAATGTGAAACAAGGCGACAGACAAATTCTGGACCACGGGAGTGCTCGGGGGCGAGCACCACCGAAGAGAGGGGCAGATGCGGTTAAACGAACACCACACGAAGACGCCAACAGAACGGCAAGGCCGAATGCAGACGTTGCCAGCGAAACACCGCGAATCGAAACCGAGGGAGAACCTTTAGGCTGTTCGGGGACGAACAACCTTTAGAAGGGAGCAGTGTAACGTGTCGGCAAACCAGAGGAGTAACTTCTATGGAAACGCCAGAACAGACCGTTGCATAAGAAGTAACAATAGCGATACTGTAATTCCAACAGTGAGCTGTTGTATCGAGAACATCGAATCTCCACGGTAACGACAAACAAAGCAATGTCTCCATGGTTATAACAGAAGGTTCATTTGCCTAGCAGCGGCGAGGGTATAAATAGGCCAGCTTCGATGAGAAGCCTTCAGTCTCGGAATAGTCTCCGAAGAAGAAAGCTTCGGATCGCCCATCTAAGAAGTCAGTTTGGAATATCCGTCTATGGAGTCAGTCTTGCCGGAATATTGTGAGCAGTGATTGTAGCACTGCAAGTGTAAATGCCTGTGAAGTGTGTGTAATGCGAGCGAACAGAATAAACCCGCTATATCAAACCACGGCGTGAACTTATTTGTAGCGCAACACACAAACACGCTACAATATCATGGACGAGAATCACTGCAACAGGACACTAAAATACAACATTATGTGTACAAAATGTTATTAAAATTATTAAAATATCAGAATGTATACGCATTATCACAATACTACATGTTTAAACCATATAAGGCCATCTTCAGGCAACACTAATGCACTGTGCACTAACCAAATATCATTCTTCTGTTATGTCATTGGTGTTTCCTTCTTATCTTTTTTGAAATGTATACAGAGAACGCAAAGGGGCACTTGATAGGCACAATGAAGAAAAGAACACACCAATGAAATATAGAAACAGCCACATGGCAAAAACTCTGAAACTGACCCACTGCACATCTCAAGACCTTGCAGCCACTGCATGGGCAGTAACATACATACAGCAACATATTTTATTTACCTGTGTTGTAGGTTGGTGATCGTAGCACCCACTCCGTGTGTCCAGTTTCAACCTTCTGGTGACAATGAGACTTCTCCCTTAAATCCCACACACACAGTGATCCATCCTCCTGCCCTGCAAACACTATATTGGTTGTTGTTGGACCAAAACAACTTGCAGTGATTTCATGAACAGCCACAAGAATCTTCTGGGGCAATGATGGTTCACGAATGCTCCATATTGCTATCATGCTCCGACATATTGACATGTTTTCTGTATGTCTATCCTCCTGTAAAACAGCGTGTTAACCAAAATTATTATTGCCTATGTTTTGAGAGTTTATCTCAGTCGATCTCTGGACCTGGGATAGTGCAGTTGGGGTAGCAACCAGCTATGGCTGAGATGAAGTGACAGGAGGTTGGAGAAAACTGCATAATGAGGAGCTTCACAACTTGTACTCTTCTCCAAGTATAATTTGAATGATCAAGTCAAGGAGGATGAGGTGGGCAGGGCATGTAACACGAATGGGGGAGAAGAGGAATGCATATAGGATATTGGTGGGAAATCCAGAAGGAAAGAGACCACTGGGAAGACCAAGGCATAGGTGGGTGGATAATATTAAAATGGACCTTAGAGAGATATGATGGGATGATATGAATTGGACTGGTCTGGCTCAGGATAGGGACCAGTGGATGGCTCTTGTGAACATGGTAATGAACCTTCAGGTTCCATAAAATGCTGGGAAATTCTTGAGTAGCTGCAGAGTTGGCTTCTCCTCAAGAAGGGCTCAGCTCCATAAGTGGGGGGTGGAGTCCAGCTGGGTCCACTCGGCACGTCGGCCACTGATTGGCCCATTGTACCTGCCCTGGGTGATTATGATGATGGAGAATTTGGTGGAATGAAGATTAGCAGGGGAAACCGAAGTACTCTGAGAAAACCTGCCCCAGCACCACTTTGTCCACCAGAAATCCCACTTGATGAGACCCGGGTTCAAACCTGGGCTGCCATGGTAGGAAGCCAGCGACTAACCGCTTGAGCTATAGCGCAGCCAACTTGAAACATTAATACAGGAATACTGTTTCTTACAGGATATGTGATTCCAGAGAAACCCATTCATTATTAGAAGAAACACATACACGGTGTGTCCAGGACCCGTTAGGGCTCATTTTTTAAATTTTGCCCTGCAATGCCATCTGTTGGCAAGTTCTGGCATTAAGATTCTTGAAGTTTCAGCTGTGGCTGTCTATAATTTCAAAGCGCAAACATCGCTGCATCATGCGTTCTGACCTTGAATGTAAAAGTACTGTTCTAACGCTCGTCAGAAAATGGTGGTTGAACAACTCAACATCAAATATTTTTTGAAGCTAGGCAAAACAGCCAGAGAAGCATACAAAGTGATGTAAAGTGTCTATGGTAGTGATTGTTTGAGTCGCTCGAACATTTTCGATGGTATGCCGTATTTCATGATGGCACAGAGGACACTGAAGATGCTCCACTTGCATCAAAGCCGAGAAGAAGTTGCACTGAAGAAAATGCAAAAAAAAGCGACTGAAATCCTTGCATCAAACAGATGTCTTTCTGCAAGACTCGTCAAGGAGCTTTTGGGAATACCAAAAAGTACTGTGCATCAAATTTTGACCGAGGATTTGGGCAAATGGAAGGTCTGTGCGCGGTTTGTACTGCACGCATTGTCAGGTGATGAAAAACATGCCAGAGTGGAACACTGCAAAGGCATGTTATGGTCGGCCCAAAGTGATACAAAATTTACAAAACTGATTGTTACTGGTGACGAGACATGGTGTTTTCAATATGAGCCTCTCACAATGCGGCAGAGTGCAGCATGGTTGAGCCCAAAGAAGCTGAAATCAAAGAAAGTGCGCATGCAAAAGAGTCAAGTAATGACACTCCTAACCGTTTTCTTTGATTCCAAAGGAATCATTCACAAGGAATTTCTGCCAGAAGGTCAAACAGTGAATTCTGATAATTATCTTGGAGTCCTCAATCATTTGTGGGCGAGAATTCTTTGAATTCGACCTGAGAATCGAGAGCAAGGTTCCTGGTCGCTCGTCATTGACAATGTCCCACCCCACAAATCAAAGATCGTGCATGATTTTTTGGCCAGAAAATGGATCACAGTCCTTTTTCATCCTCCGTATTCACCAGATTTGGTTCCAGCAGATTTCTGGTTTTTCCCAAAAGTTAAGTTGGCAATGAAAGGAGACCGACACGACACCACCCAGGACATCCAAAGGGAATCTACCGCAGTTTTAAATGCGATTCCACAAAAGGAGTACAGTGACTGTTTTTGAAAACTTTTCAATCGATTCCACCTATGTATTGATTCAGAAGAAGACCATTTTGAATAAAAAGAGTGAAATTTTGAAAATAATTCACGTCTTGTATTTTCAATGAACACAGTCCTAACAGAACCTGGAGACACTGTGTATGCAACTCAACTCAGAAAGGAATTATGTAGATCAAATGGCAAAGTTTAGTCGTTTGTTATAACATGGGGTGATGTAATCCATGCATATTTAGGCTACATCACATTTCTATTAAAATGATTTATGAGTATTGCATCACTAATTAAGCAAATGCCAGAAAAGAGCACATCTGTAACTCAACCTTCACACTACATTAATAATGAAATTTTATGCTCAAAAGTAAGAAAGTGCATTGTACGAGTATCAGTGACAAAATTCTTTACAATTTTGACAGATAAATTAAAATTAGTACAGATCTCATTTTAAACAGATGCATAGTTGGTTTCACTTTGCTACAAGCCAGAAGGTTGCAGGCTCAATTCCTGATGAGGTCATTGGATTTTTCAGTTCACCTAATCATCCCAGCCGCACTATGGCCCTGGGGTCAACTCAGCCTCTAACAGAAATGAGTACTTGGAATCTTCCTGGGGGTAAAGGGAGGCCAGCACGTAAGGATGACAATCTCACTGCCATCTATGGGCCGACTGTCTAGAAAATGTGGGACTCCTGATGTGTCACAAGTCTGTGGGCCTTCACTGCCTGTTACAGGGATAGCTTTACCTTTTTTCTGTGAAGGCACATTCCCCAGAGGAGTTTACTTCCTAGTAGGGTCCATTACTTATGTGACTATGGAATCAGACATAAATATACACCAGAAGAGACAGTACTACTTTGTGACTATGCTTGAAATTAACAAGAGAATATATGGATACATTTTTCTCAAACATGTCTTGTGCTATTTATAGACATGTGAATTTAAGCTGTCATATATGGGTATACTACCATCATATTACCCACACAGACCTATGAAGTGTCCACTTGGTTTATCCAGTTGGGTTTCAACACAATTTTACTGAACTGGTGTATACTGACATTTCCTACGTGCATGTTTTGCAAAGGAAAGAGAATCCTTTCATAAATGACATCACATTCCATGATAAATACTACCTGCATTTCACATAAAACATTATTAACATTCACAGAATGGAAAGTGAAACAAAAGACTGTGAGCTACTGCATAACTTACATTCATGCAATGTCTTAACACTTCATAATTTGTTGCATGAATTCAGAGATTTCAACTTACAGCTAGATGCTGTGGATGATCAGTGCCCCACTGCACTGTGATAGAGTGAACAGAGGACTAAACACTTCCATCCTTTATGTACTTACCAGTGCTGTCTTATTATGGACAGTAAGTAACAAACTGGAATGACGACATGGAAAACGGATTATTGTAATAGGTCTGCCCACTAGAAATGGAACAGATTCCACACCAAGAGAGATGTAACCATCACTGAATGGAATGTCCATCATGTTTCTATTAAGCTTGTTCGTGCCTAGCATCTCTCTTTCTTCCAATAAAATTGAAACAACCTGCAATATTAATACAATATTTATATAACATAATATACACACTAAACATCTTGCTAACCATGCAACTGCTGTTGACTGGAAAATGATACTGCCCTGAAAAATTTATTTTAATTTCTCTGCAATTATATGCCAGGATTCGAGAGCCTAATCAGTCACTTCAGAGCACTGCTTGGTGACCATTCAGTAACTAAATTTTAAGCCAATAGTGGCACATGGTGGGGGCAGATGTCAGTCAAGAAGCTGGTACAATGGCATGTCAGAGGACTGTACAACATTCTTCAAATGACTTACATGGGGGGGCCACATTTTTCTGTTTACAAAAGCTAGGATTCTTGTAGGATGGCATTTCAAGTGTAATCCAGACTCATCAGCACTGTAAATATGGTGAAGTTTCAGGTTTCCAAGTAGTTACTATAGGATTCTGACAATGGTGTATAACACACTGATATGTTAGGTTTTTGGACTTTATCCATCGTCCTGGTTTTTAAGATATTTGTTATCTTAAAAACCAGGACGATGGATAAAGTCCAAAACCTAACATATCAGTGTTTCAGGTTTCCCTTTGGAATAAATTTGTGAAATGTATGTGAAAGGTTATCAGATCTGAGCCGTACTGGCAGTAATGACAGTTTTGTGAATACTGTCATGTATTTATGGTTGTGACTAATAATAATGGGTACTGGATTGGATTTCTTGAGCGTTCTGTTACAATCACTTGTAATCACAATAAATTACAACAGCTCACAATAAATCTTTAGCTAAATTCTGATTTTATCTCTATCTCTCTCTATTCTGATCTGAACTACGACTGACTCAATTCTGATTTGTGACTGACTTGAACTACGACTGACTTCATTCTGTTCTGAACAGCCTCTTATATAGGGTATCAGTATCCACGGAAATGCCCGTTGATTCCACAGCGACATATTGGTTTCCAAGAATCTATCTCCATGGAAACATTTCATTTTTGTATCCCAGGAAACATCTCCTGCAATGAGTTCATTTTCAAGAATCTACCTCCATGGAAACGTGTTTGTCACTTGTTCCATAGCAATGGGTCTATACAGGGTTTGTCCGAATAGTAATGTCAGTGATTTTATTGTGAAGTGACTATACATCGCAGCGGGCTCAGACCGGTTGGGATCGGTGGAGGGGGAAGTCAGCTTATGAACGCGCGGTCACTAAGTCGTCTCTGAACTTCCTGAGAGTGACGAAAGGCTTTTCCGTGAAACTCGATTTTGTCTCCCGTGCAAGCTGCGATGTGGTGCTCCTTGGAACAAAGGATTGCCATCAAGTTTTGTGTGAAACTTGGCAAGTCTGCAGTGGAAACTTTTCCCATGATAAAGATGGCCTTCGGTGATGATTGTTTGTCGGAACGTCAGGTCTACCGGTGGCACAAGGCCTTTTTAGAAGGCCGTGAAGAGGTCGGCGATGAAGCCTGCGCTGGACGGCCATCAACAAGCACCACTGACGAAAATGTGACGCATATGAGAGAACTTTTGAACTCAGACCGTCATTTGAGTGTTCGTTTAATGGCACATACATTAAACATTCCAAAAAGTACCGTTCACGAGATCGTGATGAACAATTTGCAGATGCGAAAAGTGTGTGCAAAGCTGGTGCCCAAAGTGTTAACGGACGACCAAAAATTGCGCAGAGTTGAAACGTGCCAAGAACTTTTGGAATTGTGTGAAAGTGATCCTCACTTTTTAGACAATGTCATCACAGGTGACGAGACTTGGGTGTTTGAGTACGACCCCGAAACAAAAAGGCAAAGTGCCGAGTGGCACACCTCAGCATCCCCTCGCCACAAGAAGGCCAGAATGATCAAGTCAAAGGTTAAGGTCATGCTCATTGTGTTCTTTGACATCAGGGGGCTCGTCCACCATGAGTTTGTACCACATGGTACAACCATCAACACCAAATTCTACGTGGGAGTGCTAAAGAGACTCAAACAAAGGGTTTATCGCATCCGGCCCGACATCACGGACGATTGGAAACTTCACCATGACAATGCGCCAGCCCAGTAAACGTAAAATAAGCAAAACTTTGGTTAACCAACCCCCCCCCCCNCACACACACATACTACAAATGACCTAGTGTGAAGGAATACCACCACCACTGGGACCGACAGCAAGATTCTAACAAATAAAAAAATTCTATTACTTTTAACAAAACATATTTTAAATACTAATATTTCATCCCATACAAGACAACACATGAAGTAATACACAAGCATTTCCTCAGAAGAGTTGGACGCCTTCCAATGATGGCCATCATTGGCTGAAACGCATAAAGGCTCTATTTTGTTATTAAAAAAACACTGCTGTGTTTGATGGAATTCACTCCCAATTTTATTTGTACCGGTGCAGTTTCTTACAAATTCCTTCAACTTAGTCTTGTTATTCTTCATGTCAGAATGTTTGTCCAGTTCTGTTGCTGATTCCCACTTTGCACTTTAGCAATCTGAGGTTCTCTTGTTATTGTTGGCACATTTTTATTTCTTTTTTTTTTCAGACATTATCAATCACTCCTGCAGTAACTACTTCCAGTTGCATGATGCACAGTAACTTTTGGTATAACAGTGTCCAGAAAGCTCTGTTGCAACACAATGACCAATTTTCATTTCTCCCATACTACTACATGATCTTTCTCTTGGATGATTTGCATACTGCCAATTTGTTGACTATTCTCAACACGATAACCGTGAAGCAACAGGCCTGGTATTTCTGTGTCTTCTGCTACTGTGGTATGGCAGACTAACAATACTGGACTGAATTCTTGATTACAGCATTGTCTTATCACAACAATGCACATCTTTAATCGATGACTGAATCTGAAATGATTAATGTTCCCAACAGAGTATGGCTGACATCCAGCAGCATAAAGACATATTCAGAAAGAGTTCTACATTGCTTTTCTGGTGGACAAGTGATTATGGCCTAATTGGGGCACTATCCCTGCATTTTCATGGAGGGACTGAAGAAAACCACAAAAAAGTCATGACAGCTGGTATCCCAGCTGAGATTTGAATGGAGCACCTCAAAATACAAGCCTACAGCATTATTGAATTGAATTGAATTTAAATGATATAAACTCCGTCTCAAGTGCAAACAATATATTTTGTGTCTTTGATCTTGCTCCCTACACTACATGTTTCGGCCTCAGACGGCCATCATCAGGTGTATAACACTCACGTCGCTGTCACACTGCACCCAGTTCAAAATTTAACATCTAAAACACTCTCCCTGTCATTATCAACTTCTACTTCGTTGATAGCTGTCCACCCGTAGATTACTTCACACACGTTAATTTTGAGTTTATTGTAATAGCACCATAATAAAATCTTTAGTTCTAATTTTAAACCTTTAAATTCTTGTCCAAATTTTAAAATTTTAAAATTGTTAGGGTTATTCGCCCTGTGTTTGAAGTGCTGCAGCGGCTAGTTCTTGTTTCCACACTGTATAGGTGTTATCCTGTGTAGTCTTTCTGTGTGCGTGCCGCTGCTATTCTTTACTACGT